CTCAGTGATGTCCTCGAACACGACGCCGGTTGGGATCCTGCCAAGGTGGAGGCTGCGCCCCAGGAGGCGCCGCGGCAACTCTGGGGGAGGGAGGAGCCCGGGAGCAGGAGGGAGAAACAGGGCGAAGGGCCAAGAGCGAGGGGCAGGAGGCGGATGAGGAGGAGAAGGACGAAGGACAGGATGATGATGACGATGATGATGACGGAAAGAGCGTGTTCCACCGCTGCTGGCGGAAAACCGGGGGGGGTCACTACCGGTTCGAACCCCTCCCCCCCACCCTCTGGAAAACCGGGGGGGGTCACTACCAGTTCGAACCCCTCCCCCCCCCCAGTTCATCATGAAAAGGGGGGGGTCACTACCGGTTCGAACCCTCCCCCCCCCCGCCTTTCGAACTCGAAAACCGGGGGGGGTCACTACTAGTTCGAACCCCCTCCCCCCCCTCGAAAACCGAGGGGGGGTGCGGACAGTGGTGGGGACGGTTGTGGTGGGGACAGTGGTGAGAGGACAGCGGGACAGTGGTGGGGACAGTGGGACAGTGGTGGGGACGGTAGTGGTGGGGACAATGGTGAGAACAATGGTGGGAACAGTGGGGACAGTGGGACAATGGTGGGGGAAGTGGGACAGTGGTGGGGACGGTAGTGGTGGGGACAATGGCGAGGACAATGGTGGGAACAGTGGGGACAGTGGGACAGTGGTGGGGACGGTGGTGGTGGGGACAGTGGTGTGGGGACAGTGGGGACGTGGTGGAAACAGTAGGACAGTGGAGGGTACAGTGGTGGTGGGGACAGTGGTGATGGCGGTGGCGAGGACGGCGGTGGGACAATGGGACAGAGGCACAGTGGGGACAGTGGTGGGGACAGTGGGGACAGTGGTGGGAACAGTGGGACAGCTCCGTGGGACAGCGGAGGAGTCAGTGGGACAGTGGGGACAGTGGGGATAGTCGGGCAGTGGTTGGGGCCGTGGAGAAAGTTGGGAGAGTGGAGCCGTGGTGGGAACAGTGGTGGGGACACTGGGGACAGTGCGACAGTGGTGGTGGCACTGGTGGGGACAGTAGGGGCGGTGGTGGAACCAGCGGGGACAGCGGTGGTGAGGACAGTGGTGCTGGGAACAACAGTAGGGGATGTGGTGAGGACGGTGGTAGGGACCGGGAGTCGATTGCTGGCGGTGAGAGGGGGTGGGTGGGGAAGGGTTCGAACCGGTAGTGACCCCACCCTCCGGTTTTCGAGGGGGGGGGGGGGTTCGAACCGGCAGTGGCCCCGCCCGGTTTTCGAGGGGGAGGGGGGTGGAGGGGGGGTTAAGAGAGGGGGGGGGGTTGCCGGGGGAAAAGGGGGAGGGGGAGGGAGGGGTTCCAGCTGGGGGGGGGGATTTTCGGAGGGGGGGGGGCCGGGTTCCGGAGGAAAAGGGCGGCAATTTTCCACAGTAAAGCGGCGGTGGATCACGCTCTCTCTGATGACGAGGGGGAGGAGGAAGTCAAGGAGGAGGGGGGGGAGGAGGAGGAGCGAACGTCCCTGAGGCGATGAATCCAGCCTCCTCAGGGCCCGCTTGCGCCCGCCGCGCGGCTCGCGGGGCCGCTCAGGGCGGGGAGGGCGGCGTCCGCGAAGGCGACGTCGTCGTTGACCAGCATGTGCACGTCGAACTCGCCGGCGAGGTTGTCCGCTGATCGTAACCAGGGAAGAGCACGCCGTGGGCAGCTGAGGGAGCGGAAGCACCGTCGGCATCGCCGAACGCCACCAGCGCCACGGGGTCGAAGGGCGCGCGGTCAGAGAAGGCGCCCTCGACGACCGCAGAGGTGCCAGCATGATCTTCGGCAGGGTGAGCAAGAGCGTCATCAGGAGACGCGACGGCAGTGGTCACCTGGGCGCTGAAAGTAGGAACTCCCATGTCCCCCGCGTCGCTCAGCAACGCATCCTCGGCTGCAGCGTTCTCGAGAAAGCCAGGCTCGTCATCGAGATGTTCCTGAGCGCCAGGGTCACGAAGCAGCTCCTGCTCAGCACCAGATGGCAGATCATCTTCAGCTCCCAAGAGGCACGCAAGGTTGTTTAGCATCCACTGGATCAGCTCCCTGTTGTCCGCAGAGATCACAGGGTACAAGATGTCCACCGCACGCATAGCGCAGTTGGTCTGCTGTTCAGAAATCGCATCAGGAATGGCCGGGGCCTCTGTCAGTGCCGTCGACAAAGAGTTCGCTGCCATTGCGGGTGCGCGGCTCAACTCTTTGCGCAAGAACCTCGAGCGCAAGCTGTAAAGGAAGAGAAGTGGAAGGCAGCAGCCCAGACAAAATGCTCACGGCCGAGTGTTCGCACCACGGCCCAGTGCCAACATTCATGTGGCCCAGCACACCCCCTTGTCCATCAACGCGTGCACCGTGGAGTTCGTGTTCGCCAGGCTGCAGATCGGGACGGTCGCGAGCACCATCACGATGAAGTACAACCTCTGCGTGATCACCCACTGGGGGCGGAGTCGGCTGCTCTGCAGGCACAAGTGAAAAATGGAGCGCTGGCGCTGGCATGTCAGGGGTCGTCGCGGAGTCTTCGACATCAGACCACTCAGCATCAAGATCGCTGTCCTCTCCCTCGCCACTGTGGTCGTTCAGTCCTGGGCGCCGTTCTCGTGTCGGGGGCGCGCCTGCTGGAACGGCAGCAGGCAGCAACGTCCCAGGTGATGTTGTGGCGGGGCTCATCCACGCGAGAGCATCAGAGTCTGCGCCAGGCGGCGGCGGCCCAGGCGAACTCGAAGCAGGCCACGAGGGCAAAGAGCTAGAAGATGCAGCTGGTTGTGCTTGCCTGGCCGAAGGCGGCGCAGTACGAGGCCCGAATATGTGTTCGAACTCGTCATCCGACATCGCGTCGCTGCCGAAGAAGGAAGGCGGCGGGGGCCCTTGAACAGAATTGGCCTGGATTTCTTCCATAATCGCCAAGTCAGCATCAGTGGGGGACGGGTAATCATCTGCTTCCGTGCCGGGCCGCTGGCGCGCCCAAGCCTCGTTGGGCGGGTAGTTGTCCCCAGACGAGCCCGCGTCCATGATCAGCTGCTCCCTCGGTTCCAGATCCATGTCGTCGACGGTGATGCCTTGCATGGCGAACAGGTTGGCGATCTGAGCGTTCGGCGCGGGGATCACTCTCATGTCCCTGCCGTGCCACCCAGGGTCACCATTGCCTGCGCAAAGTCAAGAGGACGGCGCGCATGTCGAATAGCATGCGTGACGGGTCAGGGTGCCAGGTGAGCCTGTCGCAGTGCTGCTTGGAGAGCCCCACCAGAAGCTTCACGGCCCCGCCGATTGAATGGCGCAGTGCGCCAAGCAGCCTGACGAAGATGTTCACGAGGGAAAGCACTGTCGTAGTAGGCCTTCGTTTAGATCTCCTCCGCCTCGCGCCGACGATGGCGCTCTTGAGAACCTCCCCATGTATTCGATGATGCGCTTGAAGTGTTTAGCGAAGGGGAAGTGGAACAACAATCCATGGACGTAGTCGACGCACCAATCGAGCCATGTGCCGAAGTTGTACGTCTCGCTTTGGTAGTACAGAGAAGGCAGCCAACTGCTAGCCCACGCCGTAGCCCCGTCGATCACCTTTCGCCCCGCCTTGTGGAAATACTGCCCAGGGGAAACACCTTCGTCATGTGCATGCAACCGTGGATGAGAAAGCACCGGTGGGTCCAGGAGAGAGCGAGCGTGACCAGGCTCCACTCGGCGAGGGGGCCCCTTGCTTCCAGTCTCCCCAGCGCGCGAAGTGAATGCGGACGCCGGCGCAACCATCGGGCGGGCAAGACCGCGAAAAGGTGCGCCTCCAACAGTATCACCGGCAGGAGCGACGGAAACACGGAGCAGGCCGCCAAAGGTATCAGCCACGCACTGAGTAGACGGTGGACGGCGCAAACCGCCGCGGACCTCAGCCGCATTCGAAGAAAACGGCAGGTGGAGCAGGTCGCCATAGACCTCAGCCGCATCCAGGGAAGACAGTAGGTAGAGCGGGTCGCCAGTGACCCCTTCCGTATGAAAAGGATGTGTTAGCCGGAGCAAGTCGCCACTGACCTCAGCAACATCCTGCGTGGACGGTCGGCTGGGCAGTTCGCCGCAGGCTTCCATCGCGCGCAAGCAAGACAGACCATGGATACGGCCGCTCCCAAGCATGGCAGCGACGGGGCCGCCATATCGGGGGAAGGCTCCACTCGGGTTGGGCCTCAGTGAGCCTCGGCGGAACAGGCGTGCGATTCGGCGTCTCAGATAGCTGGGAGCTTTCACCTGCCTCATAACCATCACTCAAGATCCTCCACCCATTCTCCACGACGCGATCATCAGGGGGAAAGGGGTCGATCAAATCGAAGGCCGCCTCCGTAATCCTGAGGTCGGGAAACGAAGGTGACGTACTGGGCGAGCTTGGAGGGGGAGAGGGTGATGAGCTGGACGGTGAGCTGGGCGACGAGGAAGACATAGAGCGCGAAGGAGCAGGGGGGCCCCGTGAACGACGCACCCGTCAAGCAGACGCAACAGGGGCCCAGGGCGGAGCAGTCGCCCCAAGTTGAGCAGTACGTACGGCGGCTTTGCGCGCAGTCTCTGGTGGCCAAATGTGTGCTTCCGAGCCATGGGCCGCGCCGGCATAGGCGTAGTCCATGGCCACGACGTCAAATATGATCCCTAGCAGCCCGAGACGTCCAAGTGTCGACGCAGGGCGCGAGTGGCCAAGTTCCTCCTCCACTAGATTCCGAAAGGGAACGCAGATGAGGTAGTGCTTGAGCACGTCAGGGGTGCGCTTGCACCCAAATCGGCATGCAAGACGACCATGTGATTGCATACTACGATGCGAAGTAGCCCGTCCGTTGGCGATAGTCTTGATGTGGGCGAAAGCCCACGGCATAGAACACTTCTGAAGATGTCGAAGAATGTGGCCCCCTCGATGTGGGGGGGACGCATGAGAACCCGTCTTCAATCATCTCAAGGAACGTCTTGATGAGTCGCGTGGCAAAGCCGTGAGGCGTCAGGCTATTCCTGATCGCCTTGGTGACAACGCGTTGGAGGCCGGAGGAGCGCGAGAAGCGAAT